CCTGTGAGCAAAAAGTCTACTTTGTGAGCTACTGGCATTAAAGTTATGAGAGAGCGATTTGGCTACTGCATAAATTAGTTTACTCTGGAGCCATCCTTCCTAAGCTAAGACAAAAATGTGTGAGCCAGAGGCTAAAAAACTGTGAGCTAGCTCACACTAACTCAGCTTAGAGGGAACACTGCTTTTGAGGGTGACCTATTTTCTTCCAAGACTGATGAAATGTTAGAACAAATCAAGAAAAACAAACAAACCACTAGATCATTTGAAGTGGCAACTGCCCCTCCTCAGCCCTTTTGGCAGAGGCCTCAACCTAGGGAATGGTTCCACCCACAGAGGTACCACGGGAGCACCCCTTTGTCATCTTCCTTCTATGAATACACCTGACAACCCAGAGCACTGGTCTTTCAACCCTCCTTATCTACTGGGGCAGAATGAGAGCCATGGCAATCTTTTGCCTAGGCTTCTTCTGTAACCAGCAATGAGGGTGCTGGGTGGTTAAATAGGAAGCAACAGTTCGTTTATACAAGCTTTCCATCTTTCTAGCTGTAGGGGGGATGGTGGAAGGCTTCTCCCATATGCCCTTTACAATGACCAGAAAATCCTCTAAGACGGGAAAAGCCACTGTGATTGATGCATCTGAATATAAAACTGAATCTTATTTTTTGGCTTAGGGTTTGAGGATGCTATATCCATCTCTAACAACTTAGCCTTTCTGAGTGTTGATTCAGAAAACAAATGCAAATCCTCACTGGGGGAAGCAGGTGCAGTATCTCCAATAGCTTCATATTGTATCTGGGCCACAAAAATGTCAAGCAAATGTCAATACGTTTCTGGGGAGTAGTGTATATGAAAGAGGTCTTGGGGTAAGGGTGGACTGTAAACTAAATATGACCATCAGTGTGATGCGGTGGCAAAAAAGGCAAATCCAGTCTTGGGTTGTATTAAAAGGGCCATAGCATCGAAATTGCAGGAGGTCATAGCCCCTCTGTATACTGCCTTGGTCAGGACGCACCTGGAGTATTGTGTGCAGTTCTGGAGGCCTCACTTTAAAAAGGATGTGAACAAAATTAAAAGGGTGCAGAAGGGAGCAATGAGGATGATCAGGGGTCTGGAGACTGAGCCCTATGAGGAAAGGCTAAGGGCCTTGGGAATGTTTAGTTTGGAGAAGAGGAGATCAAGGGGGGGACACAATTGCTCTCTTTGGAGGAGGGCAAGGAGCTGTTCCAGTTGGCAGCAGAGGATAGGACCCAAAGCAACGGGTTTAAATTACATGCAGAAAGGTATTGGCTGGATATTAGCAAAAACATTTTCATGGTCAGAGTGGTTCAAAGGTGGAATCAGTTGCCTAGGGATGTGGTTAGCCCCTTCCAACTCTATGATTCATCTGGAGACAGATCAGAACATAGTTCCAATGCAGGGTCAGAACAGGATCTTTCCTCTTCTTCAGAGTTGCAGCCAGATTCAAGTGCCAGTGATGGAACTGCTGGTGGAAAAAAGGGGGCAGCCTGCTGAGAAGGTGGAGGTGGCATTCCAGAAGCTGAAGGAAACAAAGTGAAAGAATCACCCCACTGTTAATGATATGGGGAATATCCTGGCCAGGGCCCTGGCTAGAATGTAGGAGGCCAGGGTGCACCCCACCAAGGCTGAGCAGAGAATGGCTGTGTGGGAACCGACCGCCGTGTTTGCTGAGTTGGAACCAGCAGCTGTGGAATTCGGCAAGCTCTCTCTCTAGATAGGCGCTGGGTCAGATCTCGGAGAGGCTCACCCTTGGAACCAGAGTCCTCCAGTTCATGAAGGTGTGGAGAGGGACTCTGGCACTGGAGATGGTATGTCCTCTAAGGCTATTGGCTCTATGAGTTCTGGCTCTGATGCAATTGGTGCTGACTTCTTTCATTTTGAAAAAGACGGAGCAGAGGCCTTGTTGTAGTGCTTAGACTTTATCTTAGCCTTCTTGGGGGGTAGTTCTGACATGCTGTGGTGTGAAGGCATCGGATCTGGAGACCAAGATTGCTGTTCATGGGGGTTCAGAGTCGAAACTGAACTGGCGGAGGCAATAGACTTGGATCTCAGGACTGGTTCACGCTAGGCAGATGATTTTGCTGCTGGCTTTTCCAAACCCGATAAGGTGCTCGCTCAGAGGGCAGCTTTTAGTTGGGAGCAATGCTCCCTCTAAGCTGTGGAGTCTTGTGAGCAAAAATTCTACTTTGTGAGCTACCAGCATTAAAGTTGTGAGCGAGGGATTTGGCGGCTGCATAAATTAGTTTGCTCTGGAGCCATCCTTCCTGAGCTGAGACAAAAACGTGTGAGCCAGAGGCTAAAAAACTGTGAGCTAGCTCATACTAACTCAGCTTAGAGGGAACACTGGTTGGGAGGCTCTATCCAAACATGCTTTGGTATAAATTGCTGGCAATGCCAGCAGGCACTGATGTTATCGAGCTCATCCAGGCAGATGACACATAGTGTTCATCCGTCTGCAGCATTTTCGCCCCACTCTCGAGACATTTTTTTAAACAAAGACTTCTGAGCCATTAGAGCTTAGAAACCTACAGCGGAAAAGTAGAAGCAAAAAAAACCACTGGAACAATCACTATGAGTGAAGCTAACAGGATCCTCTCAGCTCAACAGCAAAAAAAGAACTGAGGGAAGATGGTGTTTCTCCCTCTTTACTTTTTTGATGGAAAAAGAGTGATGCACATGCACTGAGATGGAGGGGTGCCCCTTCTACTCCTAAGAAGCTAGAGAATTCTCTCCATCGGCAGGCCTGCATGTGTGCAGTCCCCAATGAACTATATGTTCTCAGCAGCTCCCCTCCACTTCGAGAACGCCCCCCTCCCTTGGTACAGTGCCCCTTGTTGGGGCAATACAGTCTATGTTCAGAGTTCACTGACAGTGAGCTATAGTGGCAGTGAGATATACAGGTACCAAAATGTGAATTAATCTGTCTCATAATTTCCTCTGTATCTGAGAAAGTGTGCATGCACATGAAAGCTTATACCTTGAATAAACTTTGTTGGTCTTAAAGGTGCCACTGGACAAAAACTTTGTTCAGAATTTCAATAAGAGTTATAAGCTACCAGGATAATTCACAAGCCACTGTGTGTAGCCTTCTTATTAAGCAGGCACATCCAAAAATATCTGCCATAATGGACTGTGCTGAATATTTAACAGTTTCGACTTACACATCAAAAGTTTTTAGTTCGTTGAGGCAGAAGTTTTGGTTAAAAAAAACAGCCTATGAGAAAAAAGTATCAAGGCTGTTTTGAGGAAAGTGGCTTCCCTCACTTGAAGCTGTAATGCTCTTGGACAAGCCCTAAAGTTAGGTCTTGAGTGAGGAGCTGTGTAGTTTTTGAACAAGTCCTAAATGGAAGAGAGTAAGGAAACTTTATAGCCTTAACTGAAGAAGTATGCAGACTAATGAATTCTAAGGGGAGACAGGAAGAAGTCCTCCAGGACTCTGAAGGGAGAAATGCATAGCCCCCAGCTTAAACCAAAGGGTTCAGGCTTTGGAAAGCTCCATAGTCTCAGCCTCAAGTGAGCGTTGCACATTTCCTGAGTTTGTTTAAATGGACAGAGACAGAGCCAGCAGACTCCCTGATAGCTTCCACAGGATTTAGAAACTAAGATTACACTGTAGTTTCAGAAATTGCTTACAATGTCAAGCCTCAGCTTCATGGAAAATATGAAACCTAGAAGAGAAATGTTATTGATCATGCAGAGAGCTGCTTTTGGGCTAACTTGAATACTGTACAGTTCTGATAGGCCTGGCTCAGGCACTTTGGGGATAGGTACCTTACAGACTGTATAAACGTCCTTCAAAAAGCTTCTTCTAGAATATTGTTTTACAATTTGTTGGAAACTGCACATATTAGTTAAGCCTGGAGAGCTTTAAGTCTTTAAAACTTTTAGGTTTGCTTGGTGATTCCAACTACAACTACAGTTAACAATTTTCCAAAAACAACCACTTTGGGTAACACAGAATATACCTTTTATATAAAAACGAAGCCAAAATTATATGAATCCAAAATTATATGGAATTCTTGTTTCCTAGCTAAGTAATCATTAGGGGAAAGTCCCTAAAACCACAACACTAAGTAGCCCAGAAGTAAAAACAGTCCCCTGTAAATCAGAAGCATGACTTGGGAGGACATCCACCATTCGCAAAATCTAAGCCTTGATTAGCTTCTTAAACTGATGCAATATTATATTAATTTTTAAAGTTAACAGGATTTTGGTAAACAGATCTGACAATACACTTATTATTTTAAAATGGAAATTAAAAATACAGGCAAATTATAAATATTTTGAATACGGCCACAATACAACATCTGAAAAGACGTGGCATAGGGACTGGCAAAATATAAGATGATACCCTACCCTTTCATATGAAAAAACCAGCTACAAACAGAATCCAATGCAGAGTGTGAAAAAAGCCACTAAAGGCATTTCCCCAAAAGCAGTTCTGAAAATCATATGTGTAGCACTCAAGAAAATGCTTTACCCTAGCCCCAAATAGATCAACTTGACAAACAATCTTCTGTTGGTAAGGGGGGAGGGGGGGCTTCACCATGCACATGGAGCTCTCTAGCCACTAAAAACGCTGTCATTCATTTCAGCTGAAGGAACAGCTCCATGTATATCCAGCACTGCACATGTAGCTCTAGTTCAACAATTGTAGTAAAACAGACCAACTTCTAAACCAGTTTTTTAGAAGAATCAGAATCAGATGCCTAATTAATACAACACTTGAACTATACGAAACTTACTTTTTAAAAAAAAATCTAATAATGGATATAGGGATCTGGGACGACTAAAACACCACAAAATGTATATTTGTGCACATTAGATGAAAACACTTGACTATTCCAGAATATTACTTTTCTTTTAAACTGTACAAATATGTACTTAACAGTAAGCTAGAAATCAAAGTACAGGAAAAATAAAGGAAAAAAGGGAAGTCTATCATTTCTATGTTATTTCTTCTTTCACCATGGATTACTTACTTTCATTAAAGGCATATTCAAATCCTTCAAGAGTATCAGGAAACTCAAGAGGTGGCTCATCCTTTTTCATCAGTTCATCCAAGTCTATTCTAGATAACAAATCTGAAACAGACATTGGTGGGAAAGAAGACTTATCTTTCTGCAGGCCTCAAATTCATATTTAGGTCCCTAGAAAAGCAGCATTGCAGAACATGAGATCTTATATTATAGTCCTGGCCTGATTTGATCAGGATAAATTAAGGCTATTAATTTATTCCAAATGAACAGCATGTTTCTATCCATACAGGAATACATCCAGATATAATTACTCTGGCAGTTTTAATATTACTCTAGAAATACAGAATGATACAGGAAAGTATTTTTGAACAAGGTGCACTAACAACTTGGCTACTCCTCATCCAACAAAACATGAAACAGTCATTATTACTTTGACAAACAGGATAAAGGAACATCTCTGAAAAATGTGATGGGATACTTCATCTGTTTATAAGTAGTCTATATTGACAGTGTACTCCTATTCCCAATTTATACCTGCTAGATAGCACTAATTCTAGTGTCACTATAACATTCATTTCTCAGATGTCATGTTTTCAAGTGGCACTGCAGTTTTGGGATAATAACTGTATAATGTAAGTAGTTGCAATGGGATGTCTCAACTCTTCACACGTACTATTGTTCACCAGCTCTCTTTTAGAATTAACCTGTCCTGAGGTATGCCAGACTTGGTAACTGCTACATAGAAGTCAACCACAGTTCATTAAACCTGAATATCATTGGCTCATCAAGAAAACATTTAAACCCCTCTCCAATCTTTCATTTTCTTGATAAACACATCAGTATAACTGTTAGAATAATCCAATTGAGGCAACACTTTTTAAACAGCAATAAAACAAACTTAAGCCTTATTGAATTATTCCTAGAAGCAAAACAACATGTCTTCTAGTTGTAAACTTAAAAGACTCAATAATCACTATCACTTTACTAGTTATATGTCTACTACATCAAATACATACACTCTGTGCTACAATAAGAAGTCATGCAATCAAACTACTAAAAGACTGTTGCAACTTTGCAGTTAGACATTTGACTAGGCACAGACTTAATCTGCTGCAAGTGAATCCTCTCTGTAGTAATTGTTTCTATGGTCTCTTTTTACCTTCTCCTTCCCACTGCAGAGAGAGTGGAAACAGAGCCAGACACATGGACAGAGGGGGAATACAGCTGCCCTGCATCCCCCAATGGAAGCACCTTGAGTGCTGCCATATAAGTATGTCAAGGTCAAATTGATGATCATTTGTAGCCTTCCCTTCTTTCAAGGAACTCAAGATAATGGAAGCAGAGTTTTTAAAAATCTTCCCATGTATCCTGTGAGGTGTGTTTTGTAAGAAACAGTGACTTCTTCAGGACCACTCAAAAAGTTTCAAGGGAGAGCACAGGCCTGGACTTGGGTATCCCCACTCCAAGCCCAATAATCTGTTTCCCATACAAGAAGGGAGTAATGGAAATACACAGGAGAGGGTAAGCACAGTGCAGATGGACAACTATCCCTTACCACCACTTCATTATTTATCAGACTGTTAGACTGTCATAGTTTAGTCTGCATCCAAGGGTTGGCTCTGTCATATTCCTTTACAGCAGTACTTTGGTGATAATTCCACTGGAGGGGAGCAGAAGCTGCCAATCCACAGGAAACTTCCCAGGGGAAAAAAAACAAGATCTTGATAGTAAATGCTAGCCAAACCCTGCTCATTAATTATTCTTTTTTCATCTGTGCATGTTAGCATGGAATACAGGACTCACGATCAGGGCTGCAAGGAACTCTGTAAAAGTCAGGGGGGGGGAGCCACTTCCATTGGAAGACGGCTCCCTCCCAAGGCTAGAGGAAGGCATCAAACTTTGCTGAGCAGAGTGGTAGGATATAAGCTCATACTTTTTAACACACTACTTTAAAAAGTATTTCCCCAAACTGCCTGTCTTTCTATTATAGGCTCTGTTTTTTAAAATGGTAGAACATAATTTCCTCTCTGAATTGTTCCAGGTTTTCTTATCTCTACGCACACATAAAACATTCCCAGTGCATGCATGGTGAAGCTTTTCTTTTTCATAGAAGAGAACAAGAAGCCATGGATTATGTAACCCCTTCCCCAGTTGAATTGTGGCCCTAGGATAGGAACTAATTAGGCACTTAGGCCATATACCTGTAAACTGCCCAGAGACCCTCGGGTAAAGGGCGGTATACAAATCGAAGATATAAATAAATAAATAAATATAAAAGTGGGTTGTACTTATTTGCACTTGCTCACCTGCTTTACTAACCACAAAATTACAGTTCATCAGAACACAGTGTACGAAGTGCCTACGGAGGAGAAGTTCCAAATTAATTTGTACCCTTTAATGCTGTAGTCTTCTCTTTCTCATCAGGGCCTCCTTGCTGGATCTGTGCCATGGTTATCCAAACTCGCAACCAAATTAAAACAATGGAGGACACATACATCAATCTTCAGTAGATGAGCTGCAAAAGGAAACAAAGTTGGGAATTTTCATATTTTGGTTCCACTTCAGAATGCACCTAAATACACAATTCACTGAAGACTACCGGGGGAAAAACCTGTCTGAATACAGTCACAATATTCATATACAATTGGAAGAGGAGCATCAGTGTTGTCCCTTGTATGCATCAGGACATGCTTGAGCTCTGGGACCTCTACTCTAGGCTTAAGAGCTCATGTTTTCCCAGCATAAACTGACAGAATTGTTGCCACAGCCACATAAGATGCCCTCAGAGCACATCGAGCACATCTTAGCTCCATCAGTGGATATTTATATCCAGAGACTGGGACATGGTCAGATAAGACATATTTCTACAAACTTGAGAAAAGCCCCAGGTTTGCAGAAAAATCTGAAATCTTAAAAGGGGGAGGGGAATCCCAAATGATAAAGAAGTGCCTGTAGCTTTAAGAAACCAACGCCCTTAGTGGCTACTGCTAGGCAACCCACAACTGTAGTGCCACCTTTCAAACCTTAGTTTCTGTCAGAAAAATGCAGGGTGGGGAGGCAAGGCTGATTTGGCCTTTAAGAAAGGACACAATGGAGACATGCCCAGCAGCAACCACTGGGCAACTTACTACCACTTACTGCATGACTCACCCAGGACTGGACTCTTGCTATCATTCAACAGCAGCCAGGCCAAAAAAGCCAGTGTGCCAGAGTGGTTAGAGTTTCAGACAGGAGACCCAGGTTCAAATCTCGGCCCTGTCATGGAAGCTTGCTGGGTGACCATGGGTTAATTATACATTCTCAGCCTAACTTACCAAGGAGGGTAAAATAGAGGAGGACATAAACTGTGTCCCCAGTGGGGACATTTCTTCCCAAATGACTCCAAGCACAAACCCCTTGCTGCCTTCTCTCCATTCTTGATTCACCCTCTAAATAACCTTTCAGACTTCATCACGCACCCCTGCCAAAAAGTTTTTGCCAGCTTCTTCAAAGAGGCTGATAAAATCAAGCACAAAATTTTCATGTCCTTCTCAACACATTCCTTCTACTTTATCCCTGTTTCTTTATCCTGTATTTCTTTTATTCAAGTGTGAGCCAGGTTTGCTTCTCTCCACATCCTCTCCCATAACCTATTGGTCTCACCCCCATGAAGCATGTGTCAACCTTCTTTTAACCACAGTCCACTAGAACAAAGTTTGAATCCAGTGGCACCTTTAAGACCAACAAAGTTTTATTCAAGGTATAAGTTTTCGTGTGTATGCACACTTCCTCAGATTCAATGAAATGGAAATTAGAAGTCCATACACACAGGTAGAGAGTGAACAGTGAATTAGCATACAGCATAAAGATGTTTAGCAGATTCAAGGACCAAACGGGAATAACAAGTTTAGTTTATATGGTTACCACTTTAGAGACTGCTAGATCAAGGCAGTACTTATATGTGAGGTAAACAGAGATCACTTTTCTTGGACATTTGACTCAACAGTCAAGACAGACAGAGAGAACAACAAAGATCTATTCACCAGAAAATAATGTATTTAATAAGGTAAATATTATGTGTGATGACTTCAATATATCTAGTAAAACTAGCTCTCAAGTAAAGTAAATAAACCCTGAAAGGAGATTTGATTCCCTTCTCTTATCAGGTTCAAGGCTGCTCTTTTCCCACACAGAGCACCTTTCCACAAAATGTATACACACCAGTTATGAATGACAGGCTCTTAACAGTATGCTTGTCACACTACACGAAGCTTTCTTTCCTTAAGCCAACCACCAAACCCTTACTAGAAGTCAAATAAAAGCCTGGCTAAGCTGAGGCTCATTTCCAGAGCCACAAAATCCCTATCCAAAGGGGGAAACGTTTTTCTCCCCCTCCCCAGCTGAGGCTGGCTCACTCCCACCCATCCAGCAGAATTCCATGGTCTCAGATTGGCTGACAATCACTTGGATTTGCATAAAGCCAAAATCACAAGGACTGGTTCAGAGCTCTGGAGGAGAGGCGGGAGTTTAAGGATGACTGCCACAGTAATCTTCTCCTTGGCCATTTCACATTACCCTCTGGTGATTTCAGCTGTTTTGCTATTATATCCACAGTGTATTTTTAAATTCTTACAGTGTGTCCCCATTATTATGATCAGCTTCAAAATTCCTCATCCTTACTTTTAAAGACTTTTAAAGTATTGCTCATCTCTGCCACAGACTGTATTGTCTTATGCAGAGTTGGTACACACTGGTCTAGCTAGACCACAACTGTCTCCTCTGACTGGCAATGACTCCAAGAATAGAGTGGGAATGGTTTCTGGTTTCTCTAATCAGCACAATGTCATGAATGATGCACTTCCTCCTTCAAGCCCCTCCTCATGTTTTATTGCCTTTTCAAAGCCATAATATTTATTCCATATCATCATACTTCTCCATGGGTAGTCAGTACTTTCTCCACCCAAAAAACCTAACTCAGTGTGCTTTCATTCCCAGTGCACAACAACAAAGAACGCTGGTGTTATGATGTCTGTGCTATAAGTTTAGGTCGATTCCCACTCATTGCCAACAAGGCCGCTCAGAATATTTCTTTACAACCAATGTATCTAAATACAGTTACCAGTGCTTTTGTATGGACTACTACTCATTATGTTTGTGTTACCAGGCATACCCAAACTGTGGGTTGGATTCAATACAAAATTTGGCTTGTAATAATGTTCTTGTGCAAGTGGAAACTCAAGAAGAAAGATGGCAGTAGAGGCTTGTTCTAATCATACTTGTGTTTCTGCTTGTGCAACCAATTTCTGGGCACTATTAGCATATAGCATGTTGCACAAGCAGAAACACGCTATGTTCACTGATGTTTCTGCTTGCTCATTGCTGGATCCAAGCTTATGTCCTACACAGGTTCTGATGCTTGCTTGAGCTAGTAACACACCTAGCCTAACCCACTTTACAGTGTTGTTGGAAGGATAAAATCAAGAAGGGGGGAATATTGTATGCCACTTTGGGTCCCCGTTAGGGAGGAAAGTGGGGTGCAAATGAAGTAAATAAATGTATTCTCAACAATAGTGAAGGCCTGGCACCGAACCTCCCCCCCCCCCCCCCCGAATCGAGGCCACAGACTGAAGTCCACCAAAAAGTGACTGAAAATGTGCTGGCTCAAAAAAAAAAAAAGTACTTAGGGCTTATCCCTGGATTGACTGTCCAGAAGGAAAACCAGCTTCTCTCAGTTTTGTTACTGGTTTGGTACATGTTTTTATATTTTGGCCATCAGATCCACGAAAACACCCTCATTGTGCTGCAATGTAAACAACATCGGAAGCAACAAGGCCTGGTGGAGCAAAACAAATCAAGGTCTCATCTCTAGCCAAGGAACAGGTTGATAATCTGGGACTAAACCCAAATTCTAATGCTAAGTGCCACATTGTGGAGGGGGTTTTTTTTGCCATCAAGTCACAGCTGACTTGTGGCGACCCCGTGGGGTTTTCAAGGCAAGAGATGTTAAGAGTTGGTTTGCCACTGCCTGCCTCTGTGTTGTGAGCCTGGTGTTCCTTGGTAGTCTCCGTTCCAAATCCTGAACAGGGTTTACACCCTGCTTAGTTTCTGAGATCTGACAAGACTGGGCTGGCCTGGGCAGGAATATCTCATACATGCTACTGAGTTGATCCACAACAGTTTGGCTTATAAACTGTTATTGAGGCAAGCCTAGAGTAACATCTGTCTAGAGCATCAGACATAAAGCTCTTGGGAAAAGATACATCTCCTGTACTCATATAATAGACATAATAACTTCCTTAATAATCTTATATTAACAAACAATAGGAAACCGGGACACAAAATAGAGGCTCTGCAAATAAGGCTCTAGAGACCTGCAATATTTCAAATGCACCTGAAATTGAGTCCTACTATTTCCTTGCTGCCTTGGTTTCCTGGCCCAAAATACCCACTACTACATCCAGCACCTCCTGAGCTCGCAGTCCCTTAGCATCTGTCCCCATTCTGCTCTCAGGGTCTCATCAGCTCATTACCCTTTTCTGCCAAAAGTATGCAGCTTTGTGTACCTCCAGGGCCTCTGATTTTTCAGTTGAAGTTTTCAGTTCACTTAGAGAACCTGCACTGTTAATATTCTGACACTTCCTCTCAGCAACTCAACATGTTCATGAACATTTCATGACATCACACAACTAAGCCAATGACTTAGTGATCCATAAGCAAAAGATGTCAATCAGAATTATATATATTTGATTTCTAGCCCGGCCCGCCCATCCCTAAAATGCAAAGGCGTATTAAACATATAAATTTATGTACGTAATACCAATTACTATACTGTCATATTTAAAAGCAGAGTTGATGAAGTGAGGCATTTTTATATATGAACACTTTTGTATGTCTACATGTCTGATCCATCATCTGAAGCTGCAAGTTTCATACATACCCTTACAGCTTCTCCAGTAATTTTACATTTTGTTCAGACTCCTGCTTTAATTTCTCCTTCTGAAACCGTTCTGCACTACCTATACATTTCTGGTTACAAATGCTATCTGTAAGACCTTCTCAATGTTATTTGTCTTAAATATGTGACTGCATTCCTATTCTCATTTCCAACTCAATCATACAAAATTCCCTTATATTTCGTAGACATTAGTAACTTTTTGCAAGTCACAGAATATCAGACCTCACACAGTCAATGGACTAGGAAAGATAATTAAGAGAATCCCTGGGTTCACACTCTCAGCCTACTCTACCTCACAGGATCATTTATTTATTTATTTTATATTTATTTTGGCATTTTTACCCCGCTCTCCCTGCGACTGGGCTCAGGGCGGATTACAGGGGCATAAAATCAGATAAAACAATAAAATCATGAATAATAACAGTAACAATAACAATAATAAAGTGCTTTCTGTAAACAAGATGGTCTTTTAGTGGTTTTGATGGCATCAGTCATTTCCTTAGATCCTTCCCTTGGGGGTGATACCGTCCAGTAGATAGTCCAAGCCAATCCCACAATGTCAGTGCCATACAATTCATGGT